CTTTTCCAATGTCTTTTGGACATGGGAAGCGAAAGTCAGTTTACTATCTAAGGTGATTCCTAGATATTTAACCTCTCGGCTAGTTTCTATAGGAGTTCCTAGCAGTGAGATTTGTCTCATTCTCTGTAGTTTGTACTTCCTTGTGAAAGGAACGATGACTGTCTTAGCAGGATTTAAGTTGAGTCCAACCTCCCTGCACCAGTCTAGCGTTGTCCTTAGTCCTAGTTGGACGATGTCGCAGAGTGTCGCTTCAAATTTGCCTCTGGCGATTATCACGATGTCATCGGCGTATCCTTGACATTGAATTCCTTTTCCAGCAAGCTTGCTGAGAAGGTCATCTACTAGCAGGCTCCATAGCAGAGGGGACAGTACTCCTCCTTGCGGACAGCCTTTGCTGGTAGCGATTGTTACTCTTTCCGAACCCAGTGTACATGTTGCTTGCCTGGATTCAAGTAGGTTGCCAATCCATTTGCTCGTAGTAGTGTCTATGTTCCTTCTGGACAGGGCAGCTCGAACTGCATCATGTGATGTGTTGTCGAAGGCTCCCTCTATGTCTAGGAAGGCACAGATAGCTATTTCTTTGCTGTCAATTGCCCCTTCTAGGGTGCGACATAGTTGATAAAGTGCAGTGTCTGTTGAACGGCCTGCTCTATATGCATGCTGTGTGTTTTGCAGCGGACAGTCTCTGAGAGCTGTTCTTCTGATGTTGTAGTCTACCAGTTTTTCCAGCGTTTTGAGACAAAACGAAGTTAAGCTGATAGGTCTGAAGGACTTTGGGCTGGTGATGTCTTTCTTCCCGATCTTGGGGATGAAGACCACCCTAGCGCTGCACCATGCACTTGGAATATACCCAAGGGCTAGGCTGCTCACCAATAGTCTTCTTAGGCGGGTTAGGAGTAGTTCCTGCCCCTGCTGTAAGAAAGCTGGAGAGATCATGTCTAATCCCGGTGATTTAAATGGTTGGAAGGTTCCAATAGCCCATTTGAGTTTCTCGGGCGTAACTATAGATTTGGCTGTTGCCCAGTCACTGGCTACTGTCCTAGGGGTTCTATGTTGATCACGCCTTGCGTTTCCCATAGTGGGAGTATTCCCCGGGAAATGCGTGTCAAATAGCAATTCTAATTTCTCCCGATCCGTGGAGGTGAAGGTGTTATTCCCTTTCCTCAGGGCTAAATTACTATCCGCTGCACTTTTAGCCATTGCTTTTTGCAGTCTCGCGCCCTCGTTGACGTTACTTATTGCCTCACAGAAGTTCCTATAGTTTTTCCGTTTGGCCTTCCTGATCTCTTTGTTGTAGAGCGTCAGGCTTTTCCTGTATAGTTCCCAGTTTCTATCAGTTTTTGGTTTGTTGAAAAGCTTCCGAGTGGTTACTCGTAGTCGTTCAAGACTAGCATTCCACCATGGTGCGTCTGTTTCCCGCCTCTGTCTACCTAGAGGACAACTGTCTTCAAAGGCATTTACTATCTTGTGACCCAGGTTGTCTACCGCTCTGTCTAATTCCAAGGGATGTCTAGGGTATCCTGACGGTTCGTTGGAAAGATTGAGCTCTAGAGTTGACCTGAATTTGTCCCAGTTTGTTTTTCTGGGGTTTCTTTTAGGGCTACATCTTTTTGTTTTGAAGGCTACTTCAAACAAAATTGTCCTGTGGTCTGACATTGATTCTTCTGGTGACACATGCCAGTTCTTAATGTGGGGTTTAAAAGAATTGGTTACTAGAGTTATGTCTAGCACCTCTTCTCGTACCCTAGTAACAAATGTCGGCCTGGCGCCGACATTACAGATCTCTAGGTTATTGTTTAAAATAAATTCTAGTAATTGCTCACCTCTGTTGTTGACATCCGTGCTACCCCAGATCACGTGATGTGCGTTGGCATCACATCCTATGATGAGGGGGATCTTGTTCGTCCGGCAGTGGTCTACTAGCCCGGGTATTCCTGGCGGTGGACAGGCCTCCTCCCCGGCAAAGTAGGCGGAGGCCACTGCTAGCTTCGGTGCAGCTTCTGTGCCGTCGATGGTTACGGCGACGCAGTCTCTGCTCATGAACTCTGAAAAGATACTATAGTTGATATCTTTCCTTATAACGATGCATGATCTGGGAGGTGATCCTCCTGGATCGCATATTACCTTAGTGTCCTTCGTGTACAGGCCTTTTATGCCATGGTGCCACCATGGCTCCTGTACAAGGGCTAGCCCGAGGTGTTGGGAGGTGAACATCCTCGCCAAGACAGCAGATGCTGCTTTGGCCCGATGGATGTTTACCTGGGCTAGCCGAGTGCTGCTTGTTGCAGCCATCACTCCGAGGTTTGATGCTCCGTGAGGTCTGGTGAAGAGAGAGAGCAAGTCTCTCCACCACCGGCTATCACGGTAACCTCGGCTTCTTCGCAGCTTTCGTCCAGGAGGAGCTCCTGGGCCAGCTCTTGGGATGACATAGGGTGTCCATCCCCTTGGTCGTCCCCAATGTCCATGCTGGTGATGGATTGTTTATCCTGTTCACCTCGCTGTGACTTCGGCTCCACATTCGGTTGTTCGAGGGTATCCTCGACAGCCTTGCATGTGCCGTCATTGGGCGTCTCTTCCGGAGCTCTCTTGGTCTTTTTCAGACCGCTCACGGTGACGTGGCCAAACCGGAAGTTGAGTTTGTGGTCACGCTCCACTATCTCATCCCTTCCGGTCTGGTCCATCCCTACGACCAGGAGTGCACCAGCTCCGTCGTTCTTCCTGGAGATGACCTTCCAGGCGTCCGTCTCGACCCGGTTCTGGAAACCAATGAAGGCCAGTATTTCTTCATTGGTCCGGTCGGAGCTCCTCGGGCAGAACAACGTGGCGTTGTATGCTGCCGGGATGTCTGCTCCCGTGCGGGTCTCTAGGGGTATTCCCTTCCACGTCCGCAGCTGAGGTACGGCAATCTTGAGCCACTCAGCTGAGCCTTCATCCAGGCAGTCGATAATCAGGTAACCCACCCTGAAGTGGATTCCCCTGAACACGACGGGACCGCTCCACGCTGACGTGAGCATCTCGTCCATGACCGACTCCTGAAGCCCGGATAGTTCCTCTGCGGTCAGGCTGGCCGCCGGGAAACCTTCCGGGAGTATAGCCACCCTGATGAGGGTGGCTTTCTTGGCAGCCTCCGCGTAAGTCGGACGGGGTCCGATGACCGGCGGTGCCGAGCTAGAGGGTCTTCCTCCAGCGGTTGTCGGCTTCTGGTTTTGATGGGGCTGGGAAGGTATCTTCCTGGCCCGCACTTTTGCCTTTACTGCCGCTGCTGCTGATGTGCTAGGCCCCTCTTGCTCAGGGACCCGTGAGGACGTCTCACTAGCCCCCGGGCCGTGCCTAGACCTTTTGGGGGTGTCCGTCGGTGGTGTGCGGCTGGTGTTCAGCCGTTTACCAACCGGTGCTGTCCCCAAAGCCGGCTGCTCCCTCGGCTCCTTTGCCTTCTTCAAGGCCTCCTCTGGTTTCATGCCCTGCATGAGGTACCTCAGGTACCACTTTACCTTTGACCCTGGCAGGCCACGCCTGTTGGGGTCGTCCAGTCCTCCAGGCTGTCCCAGGGCTGGAAGAGCGTCCTGCTTCTTCAGCTGCCTGATAGAGGTTGGCCTATCAGATGCGAGAGGTGGGCGTGCTGGCAGGGTAGCTCCTGCTGGCACCCCACGCTCCCTGGCTGGGAATGTCTGGGCTGCTGGTTTATTCCTAGGCGGGTGCGCTGCCGCCTGGGGTCTGTCGCCTTCGAGGGATCTTTCCTCAAAGTGTCTTGCGACACCGGTTGCAGGGATATCCTGCGGGATTTTTATTTCTTTGCTTCTTTTCATGTGTTCCCACGAGCTGCGGAGAAGTGTGTGGTCCGCCCGGGCAGAGATCCGCTGTACCCGGGTAAGGCGTACTTAGGACAGGCGGTCGCCACTTGCCTGAACCCTCCGTTTGCGACTGGGCTATTTGTTAACTCGGGCCCCCAGCCAGGCTGACTATCGGCACGGGTCGAATGACACCTTAGTCCGGCACCGAGGTGAGATGTGGGGGATAGGATGGAGGTGGGTAGTCGTGAGGGAGGGGGTGTGTAAGGCTACGGTGTTAAGACGGCCAAACAAGCGTCTTGTCGGTATACCTCCATCGGTATACCCGCTGTTTGTCCGGGGTTGCTTATTTGCTTACGCTTATTCGCAACTAACCTTCCCAGAAGGTCGTTCGCTATCCGCAACCTGCGACCCGCCTGGTGGCCCCAGCTAAGCCTCCCTTCGAACCATCCCACTAGTTCTTGAGGACCAAGGAAAAAAACGAGAATTAGGTGTACCTAAGAAGAGAACAAGAAGTTCGAAAGCTTTTATCGTTAGTTATCAATAGAGTAAAATGATGCGAATATAGGACATGTAAAATTCAGAAGATGTGAAAGCAATTTTCGGTCACGTTAAAGACGTGCTGACGTATGAGCAGATAAAATTATAATTGCCGAATTCTTTGGCTTGCATTTGTTTATAAATTTCAACAACACCAGCAATATATGGAAGTGTTTTCATCAGTGGGATATCTCAGGTGAGCCAAGTTTGACCAATTTAATACCCTTCGGCAAATTTAAAGGTCTTGAGTCTTATCCGAAATTTTATTATTGTTTTATTTTATTTTTTAAATCTGGTCTAGGCGGTATTGCACACACCTAAAAACCACGGGACATTCTGTTATATAACTAGAAAAGTATCTTAGCATTTTGATTTAAGATATTCTTAAATTGTTACGCATAACTTTACAAAGCTTTGAAGCCATTCCTAAGATTTGCATTACATTTAATTTAAAATATTTGAACATACAAAAAGAAAAATGTGAGGATTTAAATATTGTGCATCTGTGTAGATGAGCCTGTTTGCTATCGATTAAGATACCAAGTTGAATTTCTTACAAATTATATTAAATGTATAAGACTCTACTAAGAAAGCTTTTACAAAGTCTCATTTCGTTGCCCTGTTTAGCTAACATACTGGTCTTTTCGGCTTATTTTGCGAGGCTCAGTAGGCTGGTTGGCTGTAAGTTAACTTGTCAGAAGCGTTTGCCATTCGAGTAGCTCATTCCACATTCGACTACTGGAGCCTCAACAGTGTTTACGGACATTAAACAATTATCAGTGGGTGTGTGTGTGGAGCGTAAGACGAACTATCCTTTAACCACCTCCTCCCCTCAGCTCGTCATGATGCGCATGCTCACCAGTTGCACCCTGCGGCGCTCTGCCAGGATCAGCCATGTCCTTTGGGCGCGCTCCTATGCCAAGGACGTGAAGTTCGGGCCGGAGGTGCGGGCCATGATGCTGCAGGGCGTGGACGTGCTTGCGGACGCCGTGGCCGTGACCATGGGCCCCAAGGGACGCAACGTGATCATCGAGCAGAGTTGGGGCTCCCCGAAGATCACCAAGGACGGCGTGACGGTGGCCAAGTCGATCGCCCTGAAGGACAAGTTCCAGAACATCGGGGCCAAGCTGGTGCAGGACGTGGCCAACAACACGAACGAGGAGGCCGGCGACGGCACCACCACGGCCACCGTCCTGGCCCGCGCCATCGCCAAGGAGGGCTTCGAGAAGATTTCGCGGGGGGCCAACCCGGTGGAGATCCGCCGCGGAGTGATGCTGGCCATCGAGACGGTCAAGGACAACCTGCGCAAGATGTCCCGCCCGGTGAACACGCCCGAGGAGATCTGTCAGGTAAGTACGCTGCCCCTTGATTTCAATGTTGGTTATAAAAACTACCTAACGAAATTACAAGAGATTTGAGCCATTCAACCCAGGAGTTCATTTTAAGCTGTGTTTTTGCGTATTGTTTTTGACCTTCAACATACATAAGGTCAAGTAAAAAGTAATCCATTATTTCTAGATGAAATTCAAAGATTCTTTTTTTAGGGTTATAATTAAACGATTTGTTTCAAATAGGCATTCATTTTTTCTATAATCGACTGCCATTTTGATTGTAATTTCATGATACCCCTCTCATCCCAAACCAGTCGTAATTCACAATCCACTCATGTAGCTAATTTTACACACTATTTATTGATAGGAAAAGGTGGTAGTATCTTCGAGCGATGTCCGGGCTATAAGGTGGATGCCGGCTCATCCTTCTTCGACCATGACCGTTTTCACATAGCGTTGTCGTAAGTGGCCCACTTTTCACATCACCAGACACCATCCGCTCCAAAAACGATTTGCAGATCGAAATTCGGTCCAAAATGTTTTTTTTTTTTTTGATAGCTCGTGTGGCACCCATACCTCGAGCATTTTTCTGTATCCAGCCCTTGTTAAATGGTTCAAAACTGTTTTTTGAACAATGTTTAGTTCCTGGGAAATTGATTTACTTCTTGAGTGACGGTCAGACTCAAGGATTTCCATTATTTTGTCGGAATTTTTGACGATTGCAGAATTTTGCATGGTTGGCAGTTACAGTATTAGGGCCACATGCTCTCTATACATTTTCAGTTAACTGGCTTGCGTTTTCACCTTGTCAAAGAAAAATTGTAAGATATAGTGATTTTTTTCTTTGGCGGTCTCTATACTTATCGATCTCTCAAAGCGTTTGTGTTATTGACCACAAACATTTTCTAAGAAGCTTTTCTGGTACGATCAAGTTAATTTAAATATTTTATTACAATTTGGCTTTTTTCTTTCGTCAGCAGAGATAGGAAAAAAAACAAAAGCAACTCTCAGAACTACATGACTTTAGCTATATAAACTAGAGCCAAAGCCCCGAACTGCTTTACTCGGAGAGCCCTTAGATTCCCCCCTTAGGAAAACAGTTGTAACAAATCAACTCGGAAACCTTTTCTATGCAAATAACTTAGCTCCCAGGTTTTTATAAAGAGGTATTTGATTTTATCGAGAAAATGCTTTTGGAATCGTAAGCTCATGGAGTCATGGGCTCGAATAGCTCAAAAGCAACCTGATCAAAGAAATTAGGAATATATTTTCATTATTATTATCTTTAATTTCTATATTAGCGCTTGACATTTTCTTTTTTAACATAATGGAAAAAACTGGGCTGACAACCAACATTCGCGAAAATGGTATCCTCGATTCCTCACGGACTTATTAGACTGGGAGACCATTGGTTAAGATATTTTTATCTCTGTAGTTGGCAATCATTCCCGCCCTTAAAAATATCTATGTCTTTCTTCATCTGAAGAATTCGCGCTGGTAAGAGTAGTGTGAGCTTGATTGAATTGTTTGTTTGTAAGCTACTCTAGCTGAGCTGTTTCAAACGAATTACTTGTTACTTGTTGATTTCATGGTTCCATGACTTATGATTCCAAAGGCATAACCAACAAGAAAGAAAGCAAACTTCGGCAAGCCGAAGTTTATATACCCTTGCAGCTATTGCAAGAATTAAACATTTTTGAAAACATTAAAATTATAATTTACTTGCGTATAAGTTTAAAAACATTGAAGCTATGATGATTTGCAGCTCAATTATTTGATAGTTATTTTATATATTTTTATTGTTCCTATGGGAGCTATATGATATAGTCGTCCGACTTTGATGAAACTTAAACCGTAAATTGGAAATATTTAACCATTACTAAATGTCGAAGAACTAAACAAAAAATTAAAAAACAGAAAAGTTATAATTTTTTTTCAATTATTTTTCCGATTGTTCCTATGGGAGCTATATGCTATAGTCGTCCGATTTTGATGAAATTTAAACCATAATTCTGAAATATTTAACCATTGCTATATGTCGAAGAACTAAACAAAAAATTAAAAAACAGCTAAGCTATAATTTTTTTTCATTTATTTTTCGGATTGTTCCTATGGGAGCTATATGCTATAGTCGTCCGATTTTGATGAAATTTAAACCATAATTCTGAAATATTTAACCATTGCTATATGTCGAAGAACTAAACAAAAAATTAAAAAACAGCAAAGCTATAATTTTTTTTCATTTATTTTTCCGATTGTTCCTATGGGAGCTATATGCTATAGTCGTCCGGCTCGTTCCGACTTATATACTACCTGCAATAGAAAGACAACTTTTGGGAAAGTTTCATGCAGATAGCTTTAAAACTGAGAGACTAGTTTGCATATAAACGGACGGACAGACGGACAGACGAACGGACAGACGGACGAACAGACGGACAGACGGACATGGCTAGATCGACTCGCCTAGTGATGCTGATCAAGAATATATATACTTTATAGGGTCGGAGATGTCTCCTTCACTGCGTTGCAAACTTCTGACTGAAATTATAATACCCTCTGCAAGGGTATAAAAAGATCAACCTTTTGCTTGGAGTTGATTTTAAACTCAACTTGTGCAGGTTTCTTTAAAGTACCATAATATTATTAAAGGCAAAAATCTTTCTTCCTGTACGAACAAATCCGAAAATCGGTTTACAGACATACCAACATTAAAGGCAAAAATCTTTCTTCTTGTACAAAAAAATCCGAAAATCAGTTTTCAGACATACCAACATAAAAGTCTTTTATAGATCTAGAACAGCGATGGCTCCATAACTAGCCCTAGGCTTATAAAATGTAGAGGTCCCTAATAAAAACAAAAATTTGAGATATTTTCAAGCCATTTCTATAGGATATAAATGACACTTGAGCTGATTTTAAACTCCACTTCTAACCATCACAGGTGGCGACGATCTCGGCAAACGGCGATAGGTCGGTGGGCAACCTCATCAGCGAGGCCATCAAGAAGGTGGGCCGCGACGGGGTGATCACGGTCAAGGACGGCAAGACCCTCTGCGACGAGCTGGAGGTGATCGAGGGCATGAAGTTCGACCGCGGCTACATATCGCCGTACTTCATCAACGCCGCCAAGGGGGCCAAGGCGGAGTTTCAGGACGCCCTGCTGCTCTTCTGCGAGAAGAAGATCAAGTCGGCGCCGAGCATCGTGCCCGCCCTGGAACTGGCCAACGCGCAGCGCAAGCCGCTGGTCATCATTGCCGAGGACGTGGAGGCGGAGGCCCTCAGCACCATGGTGGTGAACCGGCTCAAGGTGGGCCTCCAGGTGTGCGCCGTTAAGGCACCCGGCTTCGGGGACAACCGGAAGGAGACGCTGGCGGACATGGCCGTGGCCACCGGCGGCATCGTGTTCGGCGACGAGGCCAACCTGGTGCGACTCGAGGACGTCAAGATGAGCGACTTTGGGCGCGCGGGCGAGGTGTTGGTCACCAAGGACGACACCATGCTGCTCAAGGGCCAGGGCCAGCGGACCGAGGTGGACAAGCGGGTGGAGGGGCTGCGCGAGGCCATCCGGGAGTGCAGCTCCTCCTATGAGAAGGACAAGCTGCAGGAGCGGCTGGCGCGACTCTCCTCGGGCGTGGCCCTGCTGCGCGTAGGCGGCTCCAGCGACGTGGAGGTCGGCGAGAAGAAGGACCGCGTCAACGACGCCCTCAACGCCACCCGCGCCGCCGTGGAGGAGGGCATCGTGCCCGGCGGCGGCACCGCCCTGCTGCGCTGCATCCAGAAGCTGAACGACCTCAAGGGCGCCAACGAGGACCAGAACCTGGGCATCGAGATCATCCGGCGTGCCCTGCGCATGCCCTGCCTCACGATCGCCAAGAATGCCGGCGTGGACGGGGCCATGGTGGTGGCCAAGGTGGAGATCCTGGACGGCGACTACGGCTACGACGCTCTCAAGGGCGAGTACGGCAACATGATCGAGCGGGGCATCATCGACCCCACCAAGGTGGTGCGCACCGCCATCTCGGACGCCGCCGGAGTCGCCTCGTTGCTGACCACCGCCGAGGCCGTGGTCACGGAGCTGCCGCTGGAGGATGCCGCGGCGGCCGGAGCAGCGGCTGGCCTGGGCGCCCTCGGCGGCATGGGCGGCATGGGCGGGCTGGGCATGTAGACCAAGTCGCCAAGCGCAAGTTTCGTCGCCCCTCTTACCACTCTCGTCTACACTTTACACACGTGAACGCTGATGGCTTCACACTTTACCTCAATACCACAGTATGGCTTTGTTAAAGTGTACCTAAAAAAATGTTTCGTTAAAAAACGTTGTGATGAATGAAAAATGTAATGTAAATGGCTTTGACGATATCACCATCTCTATATTACTATACACATGAGTCTCGCTTTCAAATAGACAGTACACTTAACTTTTACACACTATAGAAGCTTTGACGACAATAGCTGCATCTAAGTTTTAAGAACCGGAAGTGTATGGCATGTCCATAATTGCAAAGCTTCAGATCAAGGACATAAAAAAAATTTTCGCCGCTGTATACCCGACCAAATGAAATTAGCCTGGTCCTATCAGCGTCAGTTTCGCTCCCCAGGGAGTGCAAGTGTCATGTAAGTTATCAAAAACGTTGTTATAAATAAAAAGGAAGAACTCTAAAGTCGAATTCCATGACTATTGGATACCCGTTACTCGGCTTAAAATGCACAAACAACACCAGAAGTGCACGCAGCATCCCCACACACCGCAAACAGTCCTTTCGTTCTGTTTCTCTACATCATCGATTACCGGCCGAACATCTGCCGAACAGCGACCAAACAGCGGACGAGCAGTGGCAGAGCAGTGGCAGAGCAGTGGCAGAGCAGTCGCAGAGCAGTCGCAGAGCAATGGCAGAGCAGTGGCAGAGCAGTGGCAGAGCAGTGGCAGAGCAGTGGCAGATCAGTGGCAGAGGACTTCATAACCATATAACTACTAAAATATTAGCTCGATTTTAAAAGTGTTTGTGCCTGTCGATAGATATGACCAAAACAGAATACTACAGATAAGGTGTAACATGTCTCAGAACAATGAGACAGTCGTGTTAAGTGCTTCGCGATTTGTGGGCGTTAGAGTTTTGCGCTGCGTAGGAAAAAATAGAATCTGCATGCCTAATCCTAAATCTCTAGCATTTCGTAGTTTTCGAGACCTCGACGTTTATACAGACGGACATGGCTAGATCGATTCGGCTATTGATCCTGAACAATCAAATTTCTGAATTAAATTTTGATAGTCGGGGAAATAATATTTTTCTCTAAACCATTTAGTAGTTTTTTCGATTCCTGGATGTTCTTTATGTCGTTTCAATATTTTTTCTTTAAAGTCTGCATATGTCAGTATGTCTTCAAGTTTTGCCGTACATCATACTAATTTCGCCAAGTGACTTGCATTTATAATTTCCACATAAGCTTTTTAGAATATAAAGAAGTCAGAATCATGGAAATATAGTTCTGGCTATCTTCTTGAGCACTGTGGGCTGTTGCATTTGAACTACTGGTTGTTTCTTCTGGTGTATTTTCCTCAATCTGTAAACATATGTTCTTCTATTTTGGTCCTGGATAATGCGTCAGCTTCACAATTTTCATTTCCTGGCCAATATTTAATCTGATAATAAAATTTGTTTATTTTTATTATTATTATTTATTATGTTATTCAACCAAACTAAAGGTTTTTGATCGCTTAATATTTCAAAAAACCTACCGAATAAATATGATCTAAGATATTTGGTGGCCCATACGATTGCTAAAAGTTCATTTTCAATAGTCGCGTAGTTTATTTCATGTTCGATGAGAGTTCTGCTAGCTTAACATATTGGTTTTTGATTTTGTGGCAATAATGCTTCTATAGCCATGTTGCTTGCGTGCGTTGTTAGAGAAAATGGTTTATTAAAGTCGGGATGAAATTAAAATTGGGTTGACGTTATTAAAATATTCATTTTTTCAAATGCTTCTATGTAAGGTTTGTCTTTAGTATTAATTATGGCACCTTTCTTTCTGTGCAAAGTCCGGTATGAATTTTCGATAAAATCCACACAATCCTAGAAATGATTTAATTTCTTTTGGTACATTTGGTATTTCCCATTTCATTAAATACCCTTATTATAGCTCTTTTAGCTTCTAACCAATCCTTACTTGTGACTTCTATGAGAGCGGCGAACTTGGAGTAAATATCGATACAGGACAAGAATTGTTGTTTTCCTACTATATAGAAATCTATGACAAATTTTTGTCTTATATTTTGTATTTCTGGTGTAGTTTCGAAAGATAAATTCGTGTTCCTATGTTCTGTTTTTGCGATGTTACAGATTTCACATTCGTTAATTATGTTTTGTATTAATTTTTGATAGTCAGGGAAACGAATATTGTCTCTAAACCAATTAGCTGTTATTTCAATTCCCGGATGTAATAAGTCTTTATGTCTTTTTAATAATTTTTCTTAGAATTCTGCATAAATGAGGATATCTTCTAACTTTTTGGTGCATCTTACTACTTTTGTTAAATGATTTGGATTGATTATTTCTAGATATGCTTGTTGGGATATGAGAAAATCGGAATCATCATGAAGGTAAATGCACTCTTTTTTGTACACAAATTTTCCTTGATGATATCTTTTGCGAAGGTGTTTGACATGTTTATGTAAGTTATTTTGATTTTTAGTTTATGAAAATAATGTTGCACATCTCTAATTTCTTCATTTCCCTTAATAAATTCGATCTGTCGAGAATAATAGTTGATTGGTCTCTATGTGATTGCAATGTAATTCTGATTATCTTCATTTGCGCTATGCACCGTTGCATCTATGCTATTTGCAGCTTCTCCTAAAACATTTTCTTCGGGGATGTCTTCGAACATATTTTCTTCTATTTTAACCCTTGATAGTGCGTCGGCAACATAATTTTCATTTCCTGGTAAATATTTTAACGTATAATCGAATTCATCAAATTTAATCTTCCATCTTTGTAGATTCATATTTGGTTCCTTGATATTGTTTAACCAAACTTAACTTATGATCACTTGATGATCTGAAATATTTCGTGGTCCATACAATTGCTAAAAGTTCCTTTTCTATCGTTAAATAATTAATTTCATGTTCATTTAATGTTCGGCTAGCATAACATATTGGTTTATGGTTTTGTGATAGAACTGTAGAAATGTTTTATTCAAGTCGGGATAAATTAATATGGGCTCAGAGGTGATTAAAACTTTCATTTTTTCAAATGCATCAATGTATGATTTTTCTTTAATGTTTATTGTGGCACCTTTTTTCAAATTCATGGTCATGGGTTTAACTACGTTTGCAAAGTTTGGTATAAATTTCCTATAGAATCCACATAGTCCTAAAAATGATTTTATTTCTTTTGGCGTTTTTGCTATAGGAAAATTTATAAATGCACTAATCTTTCTGGGATTTGGTTTTATGCCTGTTGTGGTGACTACATGACCTAGAAATTCTGTTTCTTTTCTCATAAATTCGCATTTATCTAGTTGTAATTTTAAATTTGCATCTCGAAGTCTTCCAAATACTTTTCTCAATGATAAAATATGTTCTTCCAATGAAGTGGAAAAAATGATTATATCATCTTAGTAAACTAAATAATCACTATAAATTAAGTCTTCTAGTAAATTGTTCATACATCTTTGGAAGGTGATTGGCGCGCATTTAAGTCTATATTTAAGTCTATATTTAAGTCTACATTTAAGTGTATATTCGTAATGACCATTCTTTGTGGAGAATGCTGTTTTGGCAATTGATTTAGGGTCCATTTGAATTTGATGGAATCCTTTAGCTAAATCAATTGTAGTGAAATATTGAAATCTTCTCAATTTATCTAATATTTCATCCATTCTGGGATGACTTCTGTAGTCTATTACTACTCTGAACTTTGGTTTCCCTGAAGCGTTAGCTTTCTTAGGAACCATCCATATGGGTGAACAGTAAGGAGATTTCGATTTACGAATTATTCCCTGTTCTATAATTTCGTTCATTTGTGTATTGACTTCTTACTTATAAGGTTTCTTATAAATAGGGTCCTCATGTTTGGTTTGGATAGAATGTTTGATACTGCTTGTGAAAGTCAAATTTTCACCTTCTTTGTACTGAATATCATTATATTCAAATAAGACTTTTTCAAACATTTTTTTCCTCTTCGCTTAAATGCTCTAATCTAAATTCATTCGTTTTCAATGGCGAAAGTAAAAGATTGATCCTCAGATGAGGGTGGATTGAGGCATTTTACTGCGGCCTCATCCTCTTCAATCTTTTCCTTCTTTGGTGATTTGAGATTAAGGCGTTTTACGGCGGTATTATTCTTTTCACCTTTCTTTTCTGATGTTATAGGATTAAGGCATTTTATTGCGGTCTTATCCTTTTTATCATCGTCACCATACATAACTGTTAATTTATTTTTACCTTAAGTTACTGTTCCATCTTCAAAAATACTAAAGCTAATTACAACCTTTATGACAATCCCTTCCCATTAGAACATCATAATTGTCTGAAAATTTATGTAGATAGAATTTCTGTTCTACTGGGCAAACTTTACTTGGTTTTATCATAACACTTTTATTTAATTCTATCGATCCGTTTATAGTATAAACTTATAAATTTTCATCGTTGACTTCGAGGTTCCCAAAATTTTCTCTCATTATATTAATGGATGAACCCGTGTCAACCATGGCTTTAAGAATTTTACCTTTTATGATTACTCTAACATAAGGGTAGTATTTTCTGGCTCCGAGGCTGTTTACTGAAAATTTACATCCATTCTATTCTGTGTACTCTCACTTTCTCTCAATTTGGATGAGAATTTCCGGAATTCTTACGACTATCATGACGCACAGGTCTATAGCTTTCAAAAGGATCCGCATCCCAATGTCCTAACACCATTGCTGTTTCTTTCAAATTATTAATGGTGGAAATATCCCTTTTTGATAAAGCATTATATAAACTGTCGGGAAGTTTCTTTTTTATACAATTTCTAATAGTTTTATTCAAAGCTGCAGTGTAAATTGTTTTGTCTGTGGGGTCTGTTTCTAATTCTAAGTTATTAATTATATTTGCAGAATTTTTCTTTAATTCGTCTACGAACTTACTGGTTCTTCATTTGTAGGTCGTCTGATGGATGATAGCTACGAGTTCTTCATATGGTCTGTGATCTTTGAATGCTCCGATTAGGGCTGCTTTTGTGGACAACCAACTCACAGTTTTTTCTTCGAAAATTACGGCTTTGGCGGTGTCCACGATGGTCGTTTGATGGCTCCATAAATTATGTGAACTCGACGGGCATCTTGGGTTGCATATAGCTGTAGTAAATATTCGACACGCCCAATGTAACCACCTAGGTCTTTAATGTGTAGTGTGGATGTGTAGACATGTACATAGGGATTCATGGTGGTATGGATATGTCACTATATTTGTTTAAATAATATAAAGTTGCTTACACAGAAATCTAACATAAATTATTATAAGCATTTAGTTTCGATTCTTGTTTTGTTCCCTGGTTAAGATATAAAATCTCACAGAATTTTAAAAGTCATCCAGTTTCTCGTCAATTGATATCGAAGATGGATTCACTCAAAATATTGCCTGTTCGGTGGGTCGTGTTCCCTTTTCTATTCTGCCCTTTTACGAAGGTGGCCAAATTATGACCCACTTTCTGCAGAAAGACGCTGACGTGGTCGACATTGCTTGTTCTTAATGCTTCCTCCCTCGTTTGTGTTCTTTCTATGTTGCAAAGCTTTTCCCCAGATATTTGTTGCTTTGTGGTGGCTTGGCCACTGATAGTCTGCCGGTCCTTGAAGTGTCCTGTTACACATGTCCTTTGCTGTGTTGTGTCACAGTGCCACTGTTGAGCCAACCACTCGTTGCAGTTTTTGCTGTTCTCGACCCTTCCGTTTTTGCATTGCGCTTTGAAATATGAAGCAGAATGGGACGGCAGCGCTGGCTTTTGGCGCTTCTAATTGTGCTGGAGAGCGGCAAAAGGACGCGAGGAGAAATAATAAACCGCCACTTGACTTTCATGCATTTGCTGCTTAACTTTCCGACATTTATAATGGCATTCGTGGTGGCCTTCGGGCGGAAAGAAAGCTACTTGGATAGTTTCAGCCTGGCCTTCTGCTTGGCGTATGCAGGGCTCTTCTGCGTCTGCACACACAGCAAATAACATTTGTAACCAACTAAAAAGGTGGCAATTGACAAACAAATAGTAGATTACCCAAAAAATGTTTAACGACGCAAAAAATAATTAATTTTCCATCAACTGTTCTTGAACAATTTTAATCGTGGTTTTATTTCATTCACAAATATTTATTTATGTTTATCCAATTTTACTTTTATATTATTGTTTGCATAAAGATACTTCCTTTTTTTGGAAGTTACTTAGAGATACTTACATTTAAGAATCAGTTGAACTTCCAAGGACTGGTAAAAAAATCGATAGCACTATGGATACTGTCGATTGTAGAACAATTTAGCAAATTTATCAATACTATCGATTTTTACAAAAAATAATTTTAAATTGTGATATATTTGAGGTATGTTGCGGTATATTTCTAGTAACTTACTGGAATATTCAATTTTTAGGTCAACTAATTCAAAATGATTCGAGAAGGCTCAAGTTAGGCTAAGTTACAAAAAAACTTAGTGAGCCAGTGGGCCTGCACACCATGGCAAAATGTTATAAGACAATTCCTTTTCTAAAAATAATGTAAATATGAATTCGTGATAATTTGCTTTGTTGATCAGCGTCAAATGGAATAAATTAGGAATACGGACTTGTTATTATTGATATTTCGCTTGTTTTTCTGAGACTGAACCATTTTCGGTACTATCGATAGAATCAACCATCGATATCCAAAAATATTGATGTTTGACCAACCCTACAACTTATTATTCAGCTTTTCTGGCTGCACTGGTAATCTAATTGAATCACTTGTACTCACGGCTCAAAGACTTTCGGCCTGACTCTCTTACCGCTGATCCAAAGTCCCTCAAAGAGTTGGTCTACTGTTTTAAATGTTATTATACTATTCAATGGCCCAACAAATAAAACCGCAAGCAGCATGACTTTTTACAAATAGTAAATTCACCATTTTTCTATGTCGATTTACCGATTGTTTTTTTTTCTGTGTGCATCTGCCTCCATACTGCACCTCATTGTCCTCGGAAGGCGGCCAAGAAATCGCTTGGCCCGCGGGCCAGTGGGTGACAGAGCAATTTCTGAAGCCTCGTTTCGTCGAGCGCCTCCTTTCAGC